ATGCTTCAGTTGAGAAAAAAACAGCGCTGGATTAGCTACTTACTTAGGAAAACATTGTTGCTCACCCCGTTGCTTGGTGATTGATTTCATCAATTTATAGTCCAGTCACCTGATTTTGCGGTGCCCCTCATATGGCGCGTGTTAAGTCAACGACAGCACTAATGCAATATCGATTAAAACCACTAATGAGCAGGAATTCAGATGCCCCGTTAGCTCAGTTCGCCTTGCGTGGGACGACTGGCACTGCTCCACAGGCGCAGCATTTGCGCGCTTGTTCACGAAGAGCTTTGCTTAAAATCGCCGGCGTACAATTCCTGCCTTACCCGGCCACGAAGCTCCTTGCGGGCGAAATTGCAGTCGACGAAATCGACGATTTGTCAACGCAGTGGTAATTAGCGATCGCGATGACAATTTTTTACTATTACAGCATGAACAATGATTTGCGACTTTCACATTCGTTGCGAAAGTGTTGCAAACAGCGCAGATACTTTAAGGGGAATATTGGTCACGATAAACTGGACGATAGCTCTGTGTGGGTTGCATGGGCCACCTTCTCCGTTTAGGCCGGAGTGTTCTTATTCAAGGTCGATTTTGGTGCAAGTTGGCATTAGGCGCTTTCTTCCCGGTCATTGCCGCCCTATGGATCGCGCAGTTTGATATACGTCATCGAGGCTTCGCGTCGCACTCAGCTGCTAAGGCTTTTTGGCGCTACCGTCACTCTTTATTTGGCGCTGGCGTACCCGCCCTCTCTGGTAGGAAGGACGGGTGCCACGGGCAATCGAACTCCGTGCCTTTGGTTTTCCAGACGCGCAGCTTAACCGCTGTACCATCGGTGCCTCTAGTTTTGTCATATGTCAATGAGTTATAGCTGGTACATTCTCCTGAAATGTCGCAGGTGGTTTCTCGTCTTCATCCGCTCGAGTTGCCGAGATCTGACGTCAGTCCTCTCAAGGACTCCCGAGCCGGGCAGACCCATGGTTGGTGCACGAGAGCGCGCGATAGTCAGAACACTCCAACTCACGTTCGTGCAAATTGCTCCTTCACAGTCTCGCCTCACCCCACCTGCGTTTTCCCTATCGTTGCCAGACACCCTCCATACGGGACTACGATCATTTGCAATCCGACCGCTCCTCCCGTATCCATGGTTACGAGAGAGCTCATGGCCCGCCACCGTGCAGCTCTTCGCGAGCTAGGACAGGAGTCCGAGGAGTGACGAGATCTGGACCGACCTGTGGGGTTCGCCATGCACAGCGACTCACGGGACCACATTCGGCAACACATACACGAGCGGGACCCTGCAGCGGTATGGCGGAAAGAACGGACCGTGCTCGGCGGCAGGAAGGGTGGACGGAGAGCGGTGGACGAAGCGGTCGGCGATGACTGCGCACGAGTTCAACAAATTCTTCTTTGCGGTCAGGCCCAAGGTTGCCGCTCAACTCGCTTCTTAATGACCTGTCGCCGACCTCGAGTGCCACCTCCCCGAGTCGGGGCCTGCTCGCTCGAGCTGTCGCATGTCAGCCTCGGAATGCTGACAAACGCGGTCTTAAGCATGCGCAACTCGGCTGGCAGCGGCGCTGACGGCGTCTGCACCCGCGCGCTAAAGGCTGCGTTTCCTGCGATCGGTGACGTCATCCTCCACATCGTCAGTTCCTGCACAGCCGTTCCGACATCCCTGATCCATAGAAACACTCCCTTGTCTATCCCACCCACATGTCCGGTGATTCATCTGACCCTTCCAACTTCAGGCCTATATCACTCGTCCCAGTTATTGCCAAGATAGTGGAGCGGGTCGTCCAACGACAGCTCCAGCACTATCTCCCTACAATCTTCTCCTCGCAGCCTCCCAGCATGGTTTCCGTCCCCGTCACTCGACGGAGACCGCGCTAATTTCCGTCTCCAGCCGTATCCTCGCCGCCGCTGATAGAGCGGAGGTTTCACTGCTGTGGTTAAGTGATATTAGTAAAGCATTTGACGTGATTGACCACAATTTATTTATTTGTAAACTGAAACTGTACGACATTGAGACACACACACGCACACTGACACGACATATCCGTGGCACGCTCAGTATGTCGCTGTGCGATGAGTCGGGACGCGGGGTAACCTTTGCCGCTTCTGAACAACACGGGTGTCTGTCAGGGGTTGGCTCTCGGACCACTGCTCTTCATCATATTCTCCAACGATCTGACATTGTTTGCAGCTGGTGCCGAAATTTTTTTTTGTATGCCGACGACACCTAGGTCTTGCTGAGCGACAGAAAGGATGACCACTGAGAACTCATCTCCCGCATGGAAAACCTCTCGATTCGCGTGGTCGATAGTTTCGCACAAATGATCTTAAACTCAATGCAAACAAAACACAACTGATCACTTTTGGAACCTGGCAGAAGCCGCGTACACCCCCAAATATTTCAGTCAGCTTTCTCGGTACTACGTTAGAACCATGCGAGGAGGTGAGGAACCGGGGGGTCACCTTCGACCGGGTCATATCATGGGACGAACGTGTGTCACGAGCTTCCGTTGTAACGGCATTCTGGCCGGCGTGTCGCGTGCGCGCCACAGCACTCTGTAGGATGTTATTACCGCCTTAGTCACCGCCCTGGTTCTCTGGCACGTCCGATGCTCTCTTCCGGTCCACGGTAATGGATCAGTAGCGGATTTGGGCAGGGTTTAGAAAATTAATTTCCGTGCTGTAAGTGTTAGTCTCGGCCGTCGCAAATTGACCACGTATCGGACCTCCGGGAGAAGCTAGGGTGGCTCACTGCAAGACAGCTAGCGGACCGCAGCCTGTGCACACTTAGGCACCGAGTCTTGATCGATGGACGCCCCTACTTCCTGGCCTCCGAGCTGCGAGTCAACAGCGACTTGGAAGAGAGGGTGACCAGCCAGGACAGGCTGCCACACCTCCCCAGGCCGGAGACTGAGGCCGGGAGGAGGCGGTTTGGGTGCCATGCCCCGGCCACTTACAGCTGGCTGGCTGACGAGGTCAAGTCGCTGCCCAGACAGTGCTCGGTCGGGACTTTGAAGCCATAGCTGCTGGCTGCCGGTCGGGCCTCAATGTATGCCAGAGGGTTGTCTTACCTGTATTGTACTTTCGTCATGTCCTGTGTGCGTGGATTACGATTTGTACGTATGGATGAGTGTATTTCTTGACCTAATACCATGACTGGGTAGCAGTGGTCGCGTGTTCGTGTGGATTGCCCTACGCTAGTGAGTGGAAAAACAAAATTCAAATGCAATGCGATTGTGTGATGTCTTCGTCAGTATCTGATAGTATTGTGTCACTGCGACGTTAGGTCGTGAAAGTTTGGACCTAGTTTCGACGGGCGTCCCCGCAGTTTTTCCTCAATTTGACAATGGTTTGTTTTTCATGGTACTCGATTGAAGGTGATGCTGTGGTGATGCGTGGTTGCGGAAGAAACGCTGATTAAACAGCTTGCATGTAAATGCCTAATGGTTCATATAGCGCAATTCTTGAGGCTCTTATTGTCGCTGAAAACTGCGTGATCCCGCGGTCAGCGGTTGCAAGGATGCTAGCTTCCAGAAAGCCTGACCACCCGACTGTGCCCGGCTGGGTCACTCAGGTAGAAGCTTATCTCATAGCTGAAGAGGGTAATCATGAACTGGATGTTCACAATCCTCGCTGTAATGTCGTTCTCGCACGTGAGATCGTTCTTTTACGGGAATCCGTCGCATCTCGTTGCGAATGAATGTGCACCGTGTGCGACGGAATGTAGGCAAGATAATTACCCGCCAGACATCACGCGACCAGAGGGGCGCTTGTCGTTAACCTGGAGGCTTTTGCTCGCCGGGAAATGCGGGTGGTGGTGGGGACGCAATGGCCGGGGTCACCGCTACGGCATTGCTGCTGCGACTGCGGGCGGCTTTGGTCATTACATGTCTCGGTCTCATGCATAGTTTACCGCCTCTGGTCAGAACTGCATTCGTGTTGATGTCCTCAAACATTTTGTAGTTTTTATGGCATTAGCTTTCGGAGTTTGAACAGTTGCGTGCACTTTGCTGCACGCAACGCAAGCAGCTGCACGGGAATATGACGTCAACACGACACGTGATATCTTAACTTAAAAATCAATTTTGCGTCCGGTTCCGGCAGCTGCTCAAGGGCACATGAACACACCACGATGGGGTCACCGTTGTGGGGTTCACCCTGTTGGGATCCATCTCATGAGCCTGTGTCTAGTCCGAGTCGGTGTGGTGCGGCGCTGCGCGACCTGAGCGTGGCCAGGCACCGCTGCAAGGTGGAAAGAAGTTGGACTGATTGTCCAGCGGGACTGGTTGCGAATCACTCCAGTTCCAGGGCTGGTGCATTGTTTGGTCAGGGTCGTTTGAAAAGAGCAGCTGACAGCCGGCCAAAGACTGCCACCTGGCCCAGGGCGGCCGAGTGTACGGCGACATGAAGCCCTCCGTAGTGGTGTTGGCCGAGGCCTCAGGGTTATAAGGCCCTGACACTTATTTAGTATTTGGGTTAGTGCTTACGCGAAGCGGACGAAGGAGATCATGGGAACCCCCAATTACTTGCCATGAGGACAATAAGATGTATTTAAGAAGGAATGGAAATGCAGCAAATTTCAGCGCAGTATATCCGCTCAAAACGAACAGTTGGAAGATAACAGGATTTGAAAATAGATCGTACGGTTTGTTGCGTAAGTCTGGTCGTCATTTGCGCTGATGTCGGCTTCTGGTTACCTCCCGCGCTCATTTTCATCTCCGACGCGGTCTTTGAGCATATCTGATTAACGATGGTAGGGCTGGAGAACGACGAGAGCATCGAACATGAACTCTGTCAATGAAGTACAACACTAAATAAAGTTAGCTCCGGGAAGTTAGAATGCCATGCAGTGAGCCTTGCCAATGTTGCAATGTAGATAATGACAGCCGCATTTGCCTTGTTTCCGGCTGACTTTAAGCTTTTAGACCTGTTGCGTTTGCTAGCCTGTACATGCATTACGCTGTTGCACTGCTTCCTCTCCCTCCTTGCAGATAAAGAAGTTCGAAAAGCTGGACAAGGTGGAGGACCGGAAGAAGCATGCCCGGGACATCTACGACAACTTCGTCATGCGCGAGCTACTCTCCCACTCGCACGTGAGCAGCTAGGCTCGGCACCGGCGCCGCCGTCGGCTCACGGCGGCGGCACCCGCCGCATCACGAGTTTCGGTCGGCCGGGCAGGCGACGCTCCCAACGTGGGCTCCAGGCGAAGGCTGAAAGAACGTCACGTCTTGTACGTTGCGCTGTTTTTGTATTGTGCAGGCATTTATATTGTTGCTGAAGGTGATCAGATGTCAAGGAATTGTACTACTTTTGTGTTACAGAACTATTCGAAGAATGCTGTGAGCCACGTGCAAAAGTACCTGACTAAAAATGAGGTGCCGGCGAATCTTTTTGAGGTGAGGATCTATTATTTTATAGTTTTGGCGCGAGGCCTTGTGTGCACGTTGGTTTTTTGACAATGGATTAGTTGAAAATTTGATGATGCATTTGCTTCATGTTGATGACATGGCCTTTAAATGTCATCATATGGCCATGATTCGTGAGCTCTGACTATACCTTAATCCTTTTCCCGGTGTGCCGTGAGTCGTCATGCTCCACACCATGGTGCAAAAGGCGTGGCTCATTTTCTACGTGTTACATTATCCGGGATTGCATGGATTTCCGTTGATGAATGCATGATGAAAAAGCCGTGCAAAGTACAGTGTGCTCATGCCGATGGTCGCGTGCCCGTTTGCAGCCGTACATAGAGGAGATCTTCAGTCAGCTGCGTGGCAGTCTCTTCACCAGCTTTATCGAGAGGTACGGCCTGCGGCCAACGAGCCGACGCCGCTGGCTCGGCTGGTGCGACAGTACACGTCAGCCCTGACAGCGGGGGTGTCACGACAGCCTGCACCCACTGGCTGCCACTGGTCTGCTGGCAGTGTCTTCTTTACTGCTACATTACATATCGAAGCTGGCTTTTCCCAGGCTCAGCATTGCTTGAAATGCGGTCTATTCTGTTGCCTGCCGTGGGCTTGTATGGCGCCGACACCCTCGAGGCGTTCTCAGAGAACTCACATCACACCAACGTTACCTCGTCGGCATTCGAGCGACAGTGTCACTTGGTCCCAGACCTCACTCGTATGATAGCTGAGGCGTTCTGGTGTCGCTATCAGCTGTGCTTCGATAGCCCTATTGTGATTGAGCGAGCGGATGGATTTTAGCGGGCTGACCGCCGCGTGTATATATTTCAGCGAGAAGTACACGAGATTCACTCAGTGGAAAAATTTGGAACTCAACATCCAGGTGAGGTGTCGGAGCTCGCGGAGACTCGGTACAGGCGTCGGAGCCCGCGGAGCCTCGTACAACCGTCGGAGCTCGTGGAGACTCGGTACAGGCGTCGGAGCTCGCGGAGACTCGGTACAACCGTCGGAGCTCGCGGAGACTCGGTACAACCGTCGGAACTCGCGGAGACTCGGTGCAGCCTTTACTAAACGGGCGCAATGTGGATGATCGCGTCACCCGTATACTTTGCGGGCGGCAGCCTGTACCGATCCCTATGGAGGAGCTCTTCCCACTTAACTGGGGCTGCTAGCTGCTGCAGCGTCGTTCAAGCACCAGATTAGGGCAATCATTTACTGGTACCTCTCCGCGTCCCCCACCGACCCTGTACTCACAGGCGTACCTGAGCATGACAAATGGGGTTGCGTTCGTAATCCAGGCTGCTAAACGGATGCGAAATTAAGTTGCTGGTGCTATTGCAATCCAGTTTTAGCCTTTTTTCTTGACTTCTGCGGCGCCCGCCCGATTTATCGTCTTTGTTGGACCCATATTGGCGCGGCTACGGTTGTTTTGACGCGCCGTTGTTTGCCTGCCGAAAGCAGCCGCTGCAAGTGCTCTGCCTCTCCGCCACCCTCTTCCTCTCCTTGGCTGGAGCTGGCCGGACTTACCGGCAGCCTACGGCGAGGCCAAGCCGCCGGGTTTCCACCGTTGTAGGTATGTAGTGGTTTTACCCGGCTGGAGCCAATTAGGGTGATTAAGTGGCGCTGCAAGCTCCCACCTGTCCCCAGGAGCCGTCCCCGCCAGGATCGATGCATCATCTGGCCGGAGCACGGCAGAACGTCTTGGGAGGCGTATTTCCATCGACCATTGCAAGCCGACGGGGAAGATCAGCTTCGTTCTATTAGATTTATGAAGGAAATGGAATAGAAGCTTTGAAATCAGCGCTAGTCTCTGTTGTAGAGTACAACTGCCTGTGCTACGCTTACGCTGGCCCTTCAGGCGGTAGTTTGGTGCGTGAAAACGTAGCTCATACCATGAACTCCTTCCTGAGACCGGGCGGCCAATTTCGCTTGTGAGATACCTTTGCCGCTCCCCCTCCCCCCCCCCCCCCCCACACACACGCACACTGCTGACGTGCTCACGGCTGGCGGTGTTTCGCCGCCATTGATGACGTCACCGCCGGTAGGGCGATTCCGCGCCGCTGCTGAACGTGCAGTCGTGTGCTGCGTCGCCAGGGCAGCACGGTGTCGTCGGAGCGCGGTGGCCGCCTCCGCCTGGCGCACGCAGCACCGCTGACCGTTTAATGGATGGGCGTATGTGCCGAGAGGCGCGGCGGCCAGCCACAGGTGGCGACACGCGCCGTTAGTCCGGCCCGTATCGATCGGAGTCGACCGTGGCGTGTCGCTAGGCTCATCACCGGGCCGGCGTCACAGCCTTCGGGCCAGGCCCGGCCCGGCTCGGACAGGGCGCCGCCTGTGACGGCCCCGACCCGCCAGACTCGGCCGCGCTTGGGCGTCAGGCCTCTCGTGCTGCGCGTGTTTTTTTCTGGTGTTGGTGAAGGTCCCAGGGCTTTGTGTGCAATAGGTGCAATACGGACGCAGTCCACAGATCGGTGCCTAGCCAGCCATTAGAAATCCAGACCCGTGATGCCTGCGATGTTGACACGATGTCGTCATCTCGTTATTGCTTATGTCAGCGCTACTGGCGCGGATGTCTAAATGTCGGCGGTACCCGCGTCCTATAGAAAACGCCGACAACCCTGTCGCTCTTTGTCCATCTCTGGTGACCCGGTTCCTCTGTAATCACCGTCGGTGCGCCCTCTCCTTTTCACCGTCGGTGACCGCGCCTCCCACTGTAGATCATTGATGACATTGTCCATCGCTGTTTGACGCTTCTGTTTACAGTTCAGTCAGCCACCCCGTCCCTCCGTCCACCGCCGGCGACACTGTCCTATCCACTCTTGTTCGCCACCGCGCCGGTGACGCCGTCCAGCCCCGCTCACCGCCGGCGCCCGCCTTGGCTGCCGCGTTATCGTACCGCCGCTGACACCTTGTGGCCGGGGCCGCCAGCTGACGATGAACGACTTCAGTGTGCACCGCATCATTGGCCGTGGCGGCTTCGGCGAGGTGTACGGTTGCCGCAAGGCCGACACGGGCAAGATGTACGCCATGAAGTGTCTGGACAAGAAGCGGATCAAGATGAAGCAGGGCGAGACGCTGGCGCTCAACGAGAGGATCATGCTGTCGCTCGTCAGCACCGGGGTCAGTGATGGGCCACCGCCGCTGGCGTGTCAGCCCGCTCGGCTGGGCAGGCAGCAGATCGTCATGTGGTCGGTGGCTGGGGAGTGCGAGCCGGCGGGCCCAGCCGTGGGAACAGGCCACCCCGGCGGGCGGCCGGCGCGGGCACTGGCGCTGACCGCTGGGATACGCTGACGCGTGCAGTAACGCACGCGTCAGCCAACTACCGCTCACTTTTTCACCCTGCGGCACACTGAGCCTTCGCAGTTGCGAGATCAGGCGAGGCGGGGCTTTGGAAACGTGAAAAGCGTGAATATCGGCACGCCGGGTCACGCTGCCATTCCGCGGCGACTCCTCACGCAGGGTCGTCTGGTCATCAGGGCTCAAGCTTGGAAATTATCCAAGTGCGATGCCTTCATATTTTGAAACTATGTTCTGACAAAAGTTCACCAGCGATACCCAATCCGTGCCCACCCGCACTTCTCAATCGTGCTGTTTCCTCTATACTCTCACTGCACAACATGACATGCGCCACATCCGCGCCAACCTTGTCTACAATCTTGTCTCGGCGGGCCGGAGTCGGGCCGGAGACGTCCTTGGGAGCACTCCGCGAGACCCCTCACAGACGGCCACGCTATGGGGGTAACTTTGCGCCTTTCTCGGGGTTGCTTCGGCGTTGTCTTGGCTCTCCGGGCTCTACGACGCGTGAGTTGCAGGGCGTTGGGGCGGTGCGTGGCGTGGGCTGCTGTATGGCGTGGGGCGGCGCCAGTGCTTGCGTAGTCATTGCATTCGCGCATCTGTTCTAAAAAAAAATGTGTGCGAAAGCGGAGAGCGGTAATGAGGCTGCGCGTCAGGCCAGGTTTCGCCGCCTAATCTGAAGCCGAATATGGTAGGCAAGGAGGAGGCGCGAAACCCATGCTGGTGGATAATTTCTCGACGCGTGTGGCGAGTAGAAGTGAATTACGTGTCGCGATGTGTGGGACGAGGAGGTGCAGTTGGATCACTGCAGATACGTTACGGTTGGTGTTTGTGCATTGGTGCATATGGCGGAAAATTTCGTAGAAACGTCGGGTGTTTCGGGCACGAAACAGTACTCGATTCGTAAACCCTACGGTATCCGGTGGAAGGTCAACAGAATAAAAACGAATTCTGTCTCATTTTGATGGGGACTCGTGTTACGTTGCCTAAGAAAAGAATGTTTTGCTTATTTTACTGAGAACTGAGTGACTGAAACACTTCGTGGAGATATCCTGCAAGGCGCGGAATCTGTATGATTTTGGACAGGCCGTTGGCCCCAAAGTTCAAATTGCCCCCCCCCCCCCCTCTCAACAGTGAGCTTGGCCTCCAATCTTTTGGAGCCTAAATATGTGCATGCAAAACACTAGAAATAAGAGCTTGAAATTAGATAAATTGTAAATGTTAGTAATAATTGTTTCAAAGGTAAAAGGAACAAAGAAGGTGTAGACTGCGATGCCAGTTTCAGTAGGTGAAGCTGGCGGAGAACGTCAAATCTTTCAAGCTCCGCGCTCGTGCCATGCCTAGCATGTTCTGTTTTGGTGCATTATGTATGTTTTATGGCGCAATTGATGTGTCTTGTTAACTCTGATCGAGTTAGTTTCCGTTTTAGTTAGGAGAGATGAGCTCCGTAGCTTCGAGAGCAATTGGGTCCATTCGGAGAAGTCTGGTTTTTTAATGTGTTTTTGCGGCAGGTTTGGCGATTTTCTCCGTTCAGGGCCCCACGCCCGTGTTGTGAAGTTACACGCCCGGATGTAAGTTTCTTGGCCGTCACACGCGACGGCCTACGATCCACGGATTTGCCACCGCAGCACCTCACCGCCCACCCCACAGCGCCGCTCCGAAGTGCAAAGCGTCCAAGTCAAAAGGCAGGCGGACAAAAATCGTTAAGGCAATCGGAAGCTGACAGCAGCCGCGTAGCGGCACCACAGTTTTCAATGATTTCGACTGTATTGAAGACAGTTTGAATGCTGAATCAGGTTCTCGCACTGCATATTGCGCAACAAGATGCCGAATGAAAGAAATGGATATCCACAGAGCGGTGATCTCAGATTTAAGGGCTGCTCTGTTTCGGCACTGAAATATGAAACAATATTGTCTTAGAAGAAATCTATAAATAAGGATGCACTATTCAAAATGCCAAAACACCAGAACGTATATTTTCGAGACAATAGCGGCAATAGAGCATGGAGCGAAGTGGTAGCAAGCTTCTCCCTTCTCGGAAAAGGGGATGTGCCTCATAAGTGTTTGATCTAGTGAATCCAAACGAGGTCAGAAATGAAAAAGGGTCAACCCACGTTTGCCCAAGCACGTCATTGCTGCAGCAGAATCGACTAGAGAAACAGACTACATGAACGGTTTTGAGCCTGCGTTCTCTGTCTTAGGAGCAAAAACACTGATGGACCGGGGTGTCAGTTTCCATCAAACCGAGCGGCATTGGCCGCTGCAGATAACACCAGGCGTCGGGCAGGAGTCATTTGAATCTTGAACTAACACTGGTATACCAGTGAGGCAAAAACCTGTAACATAATCTGATGGAGAGCCAGTTCACATCCGTATATCTTTTAGTTTATCGAAGAAATACATTGGCCGACAAAATATGTTATATGCTTACTGAATTATGGCTGTTGCGATGAATAATCTAAATTGGTCAGGGCAATTTTAATCCTACCCTTCAGTGTTAGAATCTTTGTTAATATGGTTATATTTTTAAGACCCAGTTTTTTTTACTTTTTTAATCTTGCAAATCCACATCCATGACTCTAAAAAAACAGCGTTCCTCTCAGAAACTCAAAACAGGAACACTGTATGGTTGTTCAGGTGCTATGAACTTCTGGAGATGGGATGGGAGGTTGGGGGAAGTGGTTGGTTTGTATCCACACGCGAGTTTGATTTTTTCTGAACAATTGAAACCGTGTTTTTACATGGGCTTATACGAGCGAACAAGTCAGGAATAATTATTGAACGTTATCTGCAGTTGTTAAGATTTCGTTCAAGTTGTAATTGAAGGATGAGATGGACACTAACCTGGAATTCTCGCTGACTCCCTATACCGCCCGGCTCCGGGTGCACTTGCGTGAGTGACGTGTTTGAACGTGTTTCTAGGCATCATGATGGCAGCGTTTTGTTGTATTTTGTGCATAATTCATTAGCGGTCAGACGTTCGAAAATCTTCTAATCGCCTATCAGACGGAGATAAGAATATTATGGCACTTGCAGAGCTGAGAACTGAGGATGTTCGTGGGACATCTTTGTCCCGTTTTTTTTTTTTTGGCAAGCATGTCTGAAGCGGCTGCAATTCCCCCATGGCTATCCGCCCAGAATATTGCATCGATACATGAGAGCTGTCTTGTATGCTCGAGCCTCAAAATGAAATAAGTAGACCAAATATTTGGTACGAGTGCGCTCTTAGTATGGAGGGAGTTAAATAGGAAGTTGGAGCGAGCAATAACCAGAGGGTTTCCGCTAGCTGCAGCCCGACAGCGCGTATCGGGATTGTGACTTAAGATCACCCAGCAGGCATCCTCCACCACCACTCCACACGGCGGCAGGCTGGGGTCAGGGGCAGGGTTAGCAGTGGCACAAGGGTTAAAGGGCAGGTTGGATTTGGCTGGGCTTATGCTTTCACAAATTATTGAGCTTCCGAACCGCGAAAATAATTTGTCCGAAACTGGCTATTCCTTAGACCTAGATTCCGAGATAGGTTCACCTTTGTTAGATATAGAAGTTACTGAGGTTTGCCGCTTCCCTAGGACTGTCACATGTATTAGCAAGAATGCGCACGGTTGTCGTGCACCGCCGATAGTCAGCGTTGTGGGACGACGATGTGCGGCGTCTTTACTATTGGTGTTTTCTGCTTAGTGTTCCGTCGGTCTGGGTAGTGTGCGTGTCGCAAGACCACGCTTCTGTTTTTCATGGGATGTGTAACTTGATCATGTTATGCTCAATTTGTCCATTTGATTCGGAGTAAAATCTTGATGTTTAGAGAACCCAGGAACTTTGTTGATATATCCCCGTAATATTGATCTCAGCGTATCATATTCCTGATAGGATAAGATCAATAAATATTGCGTTACCAGTGTTGTCACAGCGGTTCCCTGCTGCCAGTTTCTTATCGTGGGACCACGGGAGTGTCACACCTCTCGCATATACTTCTAGTAAATGCAAACAGGGTGTGCACAAACACACAAGAAACACAGATCCCTGTGGAGATGAGAAATGACGTCTCTGATGGACGGTGGTAAACGAAAGTGTTTTTTTAACGGTTACAAGCTGTGGAAGAAAGCGGTGTTTGACTGGGATAACGCCTTTCAAAGATAACTTGGGTCTACAGCTATGATTTTGGACGTACTGGGGTCATTCTTTGCTTGCATTGCTACGATATTATGTTAAATTTCGAGCTTCTGTGGGGGAGAGGGAGGCTTGGAACATCCGAAAGTATACAAAATAACCCTGACAAGTGGGGTCTGAAACCGCAAAGTTAGGGCTGGCTAATAAAATCGCTTACTGTTGGTCGAATTTCGGAGGATTCATGAAAATCGGACGAATACTTCGATCCTTTGTTCATTGGAGACGGTTGGGGAGATGGCCGTGAAGTTGTGAGGGCCAAATGTATCTGCTTTTATCGCATTTTTGCGCAAAATTACGCAGGACGCGCACGGTAAGAACTGGCCCTTGTTTGCGATGTAACATGGCCGTTATGTTCCATTATGAAAAACGAGCTGAATATGCCCTCCATCCTCATTTCATCTCTTCTCGTGTCGTTCCGCGTGGTGCCGCTGCAGCACGAGCTGTGCGCGCCTCGGCTCCGGCCGGCCGGGCGTGCCGGCGCGCCGCAGCGGCCGTGGCGCGGCCAGTCCGGCGCCGCGTGGCGGTGCGGCCGGCCGGCCGGCGCGGTCGTCGGTCGGCGCGCACTGACGGCAGCGCCGCGGCCAGTGATGAATGCGGCGCGCCGGCCGCCTAATGGCCGCCCGCGGCCGGCGGTGCGACACGGACCGCCGCGCGCGACGCGACGCCCGCGCCGTCCAGTGATATGCAGATCGGCGGCCGACGCTCGACGGCAGGGCGGCCGGGCGAGCACGCGGCGGAAGGGGAGGGGCCGGGGCTGGCGGTCCGAGCGCGGCCGCCGGCCCGAGCGTGGCGCCGGACATGAGTGACGTCGCGTGGTCCGGGATTATCTTCTGGCGAAGTCATTTCCGCGCGGCTGGTGAGCGGCGTGTTTTGTGCGGCCGGGGACGCGGCGTCCGGCTGGGAAGCGCCTGACGAATGGCGCCGAGGCGGCGCGGCCCGGCGGCATGGCAGGCGGGGGTCCGCTCACCGACGTTGTGCATCACAGCTGTCGGGGTTAAGGTCTGTGGGGTCAGAAGTTGCCAAAACAGTAAGAAGCCATGCGCGGCACTTCGAGGGTAAAGTCAAGGTCGTAAGTTTACGTCACGCAATGTGGCCGCACGGGCATAGTTTTTAAGGGGGGGGGGGGTTACATAACACACGATGGACTAGCAAGCGTCATTGCCCAGTGACAGGCCATGGGGACTGTGAGACGACCGAGGTGGAAGCCTACGTGGCTTGGCAAGAATCACCACGTGGCTCATGTCAGTGCGAAGGCTAACGGAGCGAAGCACATTTGTGTGCTGATGCAAATGGATGTGGTCGCTGACCTGGAAAATCCGTCTTCCATGAGAGCTGAGCTGGCGCAGGTTTACGGACGTGACGTTCGTCACTTAATTCACAAATCACGGTGTTTGACAGCTGGCTGGCTATGAGGCCGGCCAGGCCTGCCAATTTTAGTTGGCGGAATCGCTAGACCTTTAATTGCTTATGCTGTTGGTGATTACGACCAACATGTACAAACAAACGGAAGTGTCCTGATTGTATAAAGTTGCCGGGAGGCAGACGACACGTTTCTGTAGTTTCTGAGGCCAAAGTTTCGGTGCTGGGCCATAGCGCGCTGTATTCGAAGCTGGTTTGGAAGGAGGTGACATTGACCGCTCCCTGGTGGGTTACGTGCCCACCCAGAGGTCAAACAGTTCGATGTATGCTAGCAAATGGTATCTGGCATATTTGCCTACACCGTGCAGTTGGGTTCACGTCTTTATCGTCGCACGCTGGAATCCCTGAGAATGACCGAAGCTGGCGGGCCCGCTCCAGCTGACGCGGCCTGCTGCAGGCGCACGTGTCGACCACAGTTTTGGCGGCGCGATCGCTGGTTTCTTGTCTTCCGTCGAGCGGTGTTGGTGTTGTGTCACGGTACCTGATTCCGACTTGGACATGTGTTGGCTTTGTCGCGAAATTAGCGAATCTTACCTTTCCCACGGCTATCGAATGTAGAAGGCTATAGTTCGTTAATATTGCGGTGTTGTGGGAAGTCTTACCTGGTCAGGTAGTTTGCGTGCAAATGCCTTACAATTTGCATAGCACGGCGTTTAAAGCATTGTGCTTCCTGCCGTTGAAAAAGGCATGGTGACGCGACCAATCGTTGGACAGATATTGGCTGCTAAAAAATAGCGCGGCGGCGGGGCCGAGCGGCTTGGTCCAGCACGGCTGAACTATTTCCCACTTTTCGAGTAGGGCTCGCTGGGCATGCGACATCGCCCGTAGAAATGGAGCAATGGGAACGGTGTGCAACGTTTGTGAACTTGAATTATGCCTAGAAGGGCTAAGTAGAATTGATGGTACAAATGCGTGCTGATGTGTGTGCATGCGCGCGGGCTGCTCGCCAAGTGGGATGTCCCATGCGCGTGTCGAGCCGTTGGCCGCTCTGGCCGCCGCTGAGGTTCGGGTGGCTCTGGTCAGCCCTGTCGAGCCGGTGGCCGCTCTGGCTGCCGCTGAGGTTCGGGGCGGCTCTGGCTGGCGAAGGGCGGGGTCGGGGCGCCGCCTGTTGCCACGGCATCGGCCGTGACCCGACGCGGGAGGTCGGCCGCTCGCCCTCCCCTGAGGACGGGACGGCGCACAAACATGTCCGGCGCCACGCCGCTGGATCGGCCGTACATGGGATCGATGGCTGCGTACGCGTGAGCAGCGGGCGGCCCTAGGCTGAGCGGCAGCCGCTCCAGCTTACGTAGCAGGCAAGCGTCAATAAGGATGTTACATTTATCTCTCGTAGATTTGTGCGACCAGATGGCCGTCCTAAGTAATGTGTGTTGTATGATGCGATGCGTCAGGAGCATTGAGCTAAGTAGCCACTTGGTAAGTGGCCACGTTTAGAACAGCTGTCCTCCCGCGTCCCGATATTCCCTACCTATCTTCCTTCTCACTGGTCCGTTTTACTCTGTCGCGTCCCCCTTCACGATGCCTTCGCCGTTGCTGGCTTGTCATAGTTTTGATGGCGTGTTGACGTTTGGCGTCCAGTCCATTTGCATCGCAGTCTGTCGCGCCTTGCCGCCTTGCAATCAATGCGAAGTGCGGCGGTGGATGGCCGGCCTCAGCTGACTGCGAGTAGACCGTTTAACGACATTAACATTATTTGCTTTGCAGGCCAATTGTCCCTTCATCGTGTGCATGACGTACGCCTTCCACACGCCGGATAAGCTGTGCTTCATCCTGGACCTGATGAATGGCGGCGACCTTCACTACCATCTCTCGCAGCACGGCGTCTTCAGCGAGAACGAGATGCGCTTCTACGCGGCCGAAGTCATTCTAGGTCAGCGCCGGACAGGTTTTGGGTCTCGACCAGGGTTTCGGTTGGCGGCGGTGACGTACGGTGGCGGCTTGTCGTCCTGTGCCCTCCGAAAGGCCTGATCCGAGTGCCTCAGTGGCGATTGTGTTGGCGGCCGCGCGTCAGATGCGCCGAGCGGCGGCGCAGGCTGAGAGCTGTCGGCGGGCCCGTCAGGCGCCTCGCGTTTGCTTGATCGATGGCGAACGGGACACCATTGTCCATGTGCAGACCACGTGTGAACCGCGTGTCAGGCGGGCGCGGTCCCCGGCTCGTGTCGTCCGTGTCGGCTCCCATGCGTGCTCCACCCTCCCTCTCCCTGCCTTCCCAGCGTCTGCCGGACCAGCGGACGGGACTTGGGGAACGCGTGTGGGGCGCTCGCTGACCCGTCGGTGCCCCGCCCCGTTTCAGGTCTGGAGCACATGCACCGCCGCTACATCGTGTACCGTGACCTGAAGCCGGCCAACATCCTGCTGGATGAACACGGCCACGTCCGCATCTCGGACCTGGGGCTCGCCTGCGACTTCTCCAAGCGCAAGCCGCACGCCAGCGTGTGAGTGAGCCTGGCCGCCGCGGCGGGCCCGGTGCTTGCTCTTGCTGTTTTCGCTGGTGCGGGCCGGACGGTGCCGTGCATCGTGTGCATATTGGTCCTCACGCGTCGGCTTGTGCCGACAGGGGCACACACGGATACATGGCGCCGGAGGTTCTGGCCAAAGGTCAGGCGTACGACAGCAGTGCCGACTGGTTCAGCTTCGGCTGCATGCTGTACAAGCTGCTGAAGGGACACAGTCCCTTCCGGCAACACAAGACTAAGGTAAGCACGTTGCAGGCAGTGGGAATGGATCTAGCGGGATTTATGATTTGGCCAAGGGGAGAATTTATGTGGACTGACTTGCTCGCCGCCTGCATTCATGCTACAAATTTTGCCAGGCGCAACAACCCCATTGAGTTAGAATGCCGTGCAAACTTCGTGTGTTCTTAGACATCCAATATCGTGTACAGCCTGTTTTAACATCGCAATCGAAAAAAGCCTGATGAGGTTTCCGAATCAGGCAGGAGATTTCGTGAAAGCTTTTACGCCAAATGGGACCATGCACGTCCTGAAACAGTTCATAAACATCAGGATGACCAATAAATAGTTCGCTGAAACGAGGATGGGCTCGGAAACAGCCATCGAAGTGCCGTATCACCGAAATGATGTAATCAAGACGACTGGACTGCCAGGGGAGTTGTAAAAGAAATTGCATCGACCACTTTGCAGTGATGGCTTTCAGATCCGACTTCTTGCTGGCCACAGCTTGTTAATAAATCGTAACCCCACCACCCATATAGGGTAATTCCAGATCAAAGGCCAAGTCTGTGTCAGGCCTCTAACGTGCCACGTAATGTCGTGACATAGTCTCGGCATGACAGCGTGGTGGCCCCAACCCGACGGCATTGATCTTCGCTTACCAATCAGGGGGTGGCTTTGGGGACGGGATCACGCACGTCCTTCGCACAGCGCCTGTGTGTCCTGCGTCCTACCGACTGCACTGCGGGACGGCTTTCACTAAGCCGCGGCATCGCTATACGATGCCGGGGCTGAAGCTCAGGATCTCGAAATAGGCCATTAGGTACGATAAGGCCGTGTGTCTCTGAGGTCGGTCCGCAGTCGCGTCTGAAAGAGATGGCCGTTAGGACAAAGGTAGCATTAATTTGTAGCGTGCTCTTCACTCATACCCAGTCAGCAGGACTCTAATATTAGCACATGTTTCACCGCCCGCTGTTGCTTTCGTTCTATCGTGGCGGAGGTAGCCCGGTGATCGCCACCGTCGCTGACAAAAATACCAGGTCTTCACGCGCCTTGCACTTTCGCCTTATGCCTATCGAAAATGTAAGGAATCCACGCAAATATGCCGCATTGGGTCTGGAAACATTGCATAAAATGCGCAAAAAACGATGTGTTCGCCAGTAGTTACGGGCATATTGGTAATGTCAATTATTGTTGTTTTATTGTGGTCTTCAGAGTTATATTTTTATGATCGGTCATTGTATTAGCTGTTTTTTGTTCAGCTGTGGAAACAAGCATATTCATTGCGCTGTTCTGTTGTTCATTGATAACGTAGCTTTGATAGGATAGCCAGAATGCTGTTGGGGATGAACGCAGCACTGACGGCCGTAGAACATAGTCCAAGCTTGCGAATACGGTCTTGCCAAGCTGAAACGAAATCCAACGTTCTGTTTTCCCCTTAATCGTGTACGCAAAAGCTTTTTGCATGCATTTTTGACTTGCTACAGGACCTCACGTGGATATCTTTTATTGCTTTTAAGTTATCAAGACGTGTTTGCCGCCAAAGTTTTTTTTTTTAGTTGGAGCGATGCTAACACCCAGAAACGCTGTTGTTCGAGCGTGCTTGAAACGACAAACATGCCCGCACAATTCATCGAAACATCTGAAGGCATTGTAGAGTGTTTCGCACGGACTACCATTGTGAAAACAGTTCCTATTAGTACTAACAACAAAGTGATGTTTGCAGTCGCACCGGAGATCAAAGGAAGGAAGGCTCCTAAGGCGGGCTTGCATTTGTTCCCTTTCGGCTTTTGAACTACAGAAGCGTATTGTGGAGCCAGTCGTGGCAATATCAGGCGCGACTGTATGCCCTCGCGTCGCCCGCAGTCCGCGTGCGGCCGCAGACTCCGTTTCGTCCGCAGCCGGCCGGGCGCGGCCATATACTCCGTTTCGTCCGCGAGCCGGCCGGGCGCGGCCGCTCCGTTTTGTCCCCAGCCGGCCGGGCGCGGCCATATACTCCGTTTCGTCCGCGAGCCGGCCGGGCGCGGCCGCTCCGTTTCGTCCCCAGCCGGCCGGGCGCGGCCGCTCCGTTTCGTCCCCAGCCGGCCGGGCGCGGCCGTAGTCTCCGTTTTGTCCCCAGCCGGCCGGGCGCGGCCGTAGGCTCCGTTTCGTCCCCGAGCCGGCCGGGCGCGGCCGCTCCGTTTCGTCCCCAGCCGGCCGGGCGCGGCCGCTCCGTTTCGTCCCCAGCCGGCCGGGCGCGGCCATATACTCCGTTTCGTCCCGCGAGCCGGCCGGGCGCTGCCGTCGTTCGTCCCCAGCCGGCCGGGCGCGGCCGTAGTCTCCGTTTCGTCCCCAGCCGGCCGGGCGCGGCCGCTCCGTTTCGTCCCCAGCCGGCCGGGCGCGGCCATAGTCTCCGTTTTGTCCCCAGCCGGCCGGGGGCGGTCGCTCCGTTTCGTCCCCAGCCGGCCGGCTAGCGTGGTATCCCCGCAGGCGGGCCGATCACCAGCCTGGCTCGCTTTTCAGGACAAGCACGAAATCGACCGGATGACGCTGACCATGAACGTCGAGCTGCCGGACACGTTCTCCGGGGAGCTGCGAGACTTGCTGGAGGGCCTGCTGCAGCGTGACGTCGACAAGCGGCTGGGCTGCCTCGGCAGGGGGTGAGCGGCCGGCGCGCGCGCTCTCATGCGTGTCACCCGGCGTCGCCGTCCGGGGTGTGAGGCGAGCGACGGGCGGGAAGCCGTGGGCTGGGCTGCACTTGTGCGGGGGCATTGCATCTGTGCGTCTTGGTGTTTGAAGAGTGTGTGAAACCACGGTGCGCTCGCCTGCTGCTGGGATGTGTCGTCAGCGTTTGGCTTTCTGTGGTGTCCTCCAGCTGTTAAGTTAAACGGGACTGGTCCTTCAGATCGATGCGTTTTGTGAAAGTTAATTACTACAAATGGCCCAAGCGGTTTTATTAAGGCTGGAAGCTTGGGGGAAATGGAGAAAGAATGTAAGAAGTTTGTAATTTGAGTCCGTTAGAAAGAACTGCCGTTGGAGCCGCTCGGAACGGCAAAGGAATCCCAAGAAATTCACAGCGGCGCAGAGAGCAGCCTGCTAACACGGTCCAGTAAACCCGCAAATTACTAAAGTTGGTCGCTGAAGCAGCCAGGCATGGAGACGGCCGTCGAAGTCTGACATGTTCATACTCTATTTGAAGATCTAGTTGTCCCCAATCTGTATACGGGACTGGCTACCGAAAACTCGGCAGTGGACTGTAGTATCTGAAGATGACGTGTTGACGTTTGAGAAGACCGATGGCGAGAGTTGGTTGAGCAGAACAATGTCAGACGGAAACTGTAGAGACGACTGAACCGTTCCTGCAGTTGGTAGGCGCCGGACGCTGGCCAATTGGTGGCGGGCATGCGGGTTCTCGCACTGGCAAGCGCATAGGTGGCCCGTGAATGATCTGCTGACAGCTGACTGCGAGAGAACAAGGCCGGGCCTGGTGGGACAGCCACGGTCGTGTCACGCTAGGGTATTCGGGCAGAAATTGTCTGTCGCGTTGGAGCGCCTCTTGGACTGGTGGAGCGTTTGGAGGGTAGACTTTCGCTGTAAGCTGCTTGGCAGGGACTTACCAATGCATCCTCGCGGAGCATACTGCAACATCTCTGAACGGGTGTTGTGATAGCCAACTCAGCATTGGGTTACGGCTCCCCTCTCACCAGTCGGCAGGATGTGTTTATCGATAGAACCTTTAGATCTCAGATTCCTGCTTTCAAGTGTTACCCTCTCTGACATTTTCGAGGCTGCCTGTCCGCTTACAAAATAATGAGTGTTCGTGCGTCCCATGCCATATAGGTTGTACGATATGTTGCATGATTTCAGGCAAAATTATTGACAATGCACCCTGGTAACCTAAAGCGCCCTTGTCAAATTACAGCTATGTGAGGCTGTAATTTGACAAGGGCGTATTAGGGATGTTACAGTGTCAGTCGACTGACCCCTGTGCTCCCGCTATAGATGGCAAGGTTGCAGTGGCGCCATATTTGGTGCTCAAAAAAGACATTTGGTGGTCAGTGGGTATAAACAGTCTTCGTAACAATCGGATCCCTTTTTTGATCACACCTATGGCCATTAACAGAAGTACAAATTGATTTCAATGTTTTTGTTGCCGGAGCGGCAGGCGAGAATTCGTCTCTGACTGGCTGCTACATGGATACCGACTGCTTCCGAACCCCTGCCTAACAAGGAGGCCGTCGGTTCTTTCGAGGCCATGGCCTTCCCTTTTTGTACCCGTCGCTGTCACGACTGTCCGCCCCAGAACCCTCGAGAGTTCCTTCCGGTGACAGACTGCCCGCCCCAGAACCCTCGAGAGTTCCTTTCGGTGACAGACTGCCCGCCCCGGAGCCTTCGGGGTCCTGTCCGGTGACAGACTGTCCGCTCCAAAACCCTCGAGAGTCCCGTTCGGTGACAGACCGCCCACCCCGGAGCCTTCGGGGTCCCGTCCGGTGACAGACTGTCCGTCCCAGAGCCTTCGGGGTCCCGTCCGGTGACAGACTGTCCGTCCCAGAGCCTTCGGGGGTCCCGTCCGGTGACAGACTGTCCGCCCCGGAGCCCTCGGAAGCCCCTTTCCGTGAAGTGGTTCGTGACTGCTCGGGATCGAAGGCAGTGCCAATGACATCTCACCCTCCAAGTCAAGTCCACCGCCCCGGGGCCAGTGCTCGGTCTCCTAACGTGCTGAGCTATTTCATAGATCCCATGACCGTTCCTGAGCCCCAAGCCGCCGCGCACACTGAGTGTGGCGGGTGTCAAAACCGCAGAACCATATGGACCAGGTCGTGACAACACACTGACGCCTGAGGCATCCGTGCTGCTGACTTCCTCGTCATGACCACCTTAACCCGCAGACTGTAGTGAGCATCCCATGACCACCGTAGGGTGGTTTGCGCCGTGGTTGTCAATCACTCGGCCTGGCCGCACTGTCCGAGATTCTCTTTCGGCCCCCCACTCGTCTGGGTAACCCACTTATTGGCAACATTAACCTGGTCAGCCTCGTTGACAGTAACGTTGTCGGTGTCGAGCCGTCACTTTCTGGGAGTCCACAGCCCATCCAACTAAATGGCATCGGTGGAGCGTGCGGCGTGTGACACAGATGTTCCAACGTAGCCAGCTGCAATGTTGGAGTGACACGAGCAATCTATCACAGAGCGGTCAATATAACGAGATTTAAGGTAACAAAGATTTGTTGCCGGTTTGTCTCCTGGCCGTTTGGCCTGCTCCGGGGTCTCTTGTGCTGCGGCCGCTGGAGTGCCTCTTCACCTCCCCATCACTGCTCTCATCATTGCGTCGTGAATTTAGATAAAAGCCGCAGCCTTTTGATAGTTCATTTAATGGCTTCATTTGTGTCGGTTCTACAGTAATCGCCGACGATGACGGGAGAGAGGCAACCTGCATCGTATAATTCATGACATCAGCGCTCAATGACTAATGGCCCGGAAAAATCCAGGAGGTAAATATGCAACTTGTCAGCAGAGACGCAACAAAGCAGTTTCCTTTAGGTCATGAGGATTAATGTCGTTGACAGCGGAGTATCGGGTATGTGTACGGGAAGTTACAGACTTACCGTCAATTTCAGTATTGCTAAATTATCCAATTACGATGAGAACCAAGCGACGTCATGACAGCCATCATGACCCTTCACGCAGCCATTAATTTGAGTATCTTTGACACTTAATGATCACAGAAGTGACAGAGTCTCCGGAAATGCCAGCCTTCTCAACGTCCTCCAACATTTCAGTTTCAGACCCGAGCTGCACCTCCTATTCACTTTGGACGTGGCCCAGGTCACTGAGCCTAGCCTCCAACTCACACTGGACGTGGCCCAGGTCGCTGAGCCTAGCCTCCAACTCACACAGGACGTGGCCCAGGTCGCTGAGCCTAGCCTCCAACTCACACAGGACGTGGCCCAGGTCACTGAACCGAGCCTCCAACTCACACTGGACGTGGCCCAGGCCACTGAACCGAGCCTCCAACTCACACTGGACGTGGCCCGGGTCACTGAACCGAGCCTCCAACTCACACTGGACGTGGCCCAGGCCACTGAACCGAGCCTCCAACTCACACTGGAACGTGGCCCAGGTCACTGAGCCTAGCCTCCAACTCACACTGGCCGAGATCTGTTACCAAAGCACATTTGTGGAGGTCACTCGGTTCATGGCAGGTGATGCCTTCATTTCCTGATGTCCGCGCCGCGGAACAGGCAGATCTGTGCTGGATTGAGCTGGCGGGGGGGGGGGAGGGGGGCTCTGTTTGGGATGGCAGGAGGGAAGTGGGATTCTCTAGCCAGTCGCGACCGTGCCCTGTCCGAGCAACTGGATCAGAATTTCTATGCGATTGCGTATGGGTTAACACTGCACGAAATATTCGACGGATACGCACAGACAGCTGGCTTTTTCCGGACCGTTGGCTGGAAGCGCGTCTACCATACTTCGTTGGCTTCGTCGTCGATCCTTGTCGTATGGTTTTTATGGTGATGAATTCTTATAGCTCGGCGGACATGCTGAGACTGACACAGGCCTTGATTTTCTGGTAAATGGGTGACACTTAAGAATATGTAATACGGGGGTGACCAAAAAGCATTTCGCGCCTTGCAGATCCACTACGTTGCAGATCGCAACAGGGCAATCGGCCTGACTGTGAGAGTTATGTGCGCCTAATGTGGCGACTTGACGTGACGGCGTTGGGCCGGTGTGTTGATGTGACGTGATGCTATCTAACTGGTCCACGTTGGGATATGGCAGGGGTTGACGGTGTTTGTGGCAGCGGTTGGTGGTGTTTGTGACAGGGTTGGTTGCTATTGTTTGACTGATGTAGCGCTATAGCGGGACGGCGTTCGGAGCGGCGTCGCGGCGTCACGATGTTTGACTGGTGTGCCGAGGGCGTGACTGCTCGTATATAATCTTTCCCTGGACACGTACGTGAAGCAGTGTTCAAGTGTGAATATCCACCGCTGCAAAGGGAGGGTGACATATGCGATCCCGGGTACAGGACTGTCGAGTTGGTTATCTTTTCAACATCGGTTCGCTCCCCACCCCCCTCCCCCGCCCCCCCCCCCCTTGGATCGGCCGCCGACAGCCCTTTCCCTCCTGCTTCCCCTGGTGTTGACCGGTAGCCCCCGTTCTTCTCGGACTCCCTTGCCAGCTACACCTCCTTGTTTTCTCCGGTCGGTCGTAGTTTCCGGCAACAGCTCGGGCCGGTCGTCAAATAACGGGGACGGGCCGTTAAATGTCACGTGCGTAAATCCGGAACCAGGCACCGACCGCTGCGCCGACTGCTGTGCGAGGCGCTCCACGTGGCGCGACTGACCCCGTGCTCGCCGTGTCCCGGCGGCCGCCAGGTCGGACGAGGTGAAGGAACACCCGTTCTTCCGCGAGCTGGACTGGCAGCAGGTGTACCTGCAGCGGTACACGCCGCCGCTGGTGCCACCGCGCGGGGAGGTGAACGCCGCCGACGCCTTCGACATCGGCTCCTTCGACGAGGAAGATACCAAGGGCATCAAGGTGGGTGGTGGGACGACACCGGGCGGAGGTGTGAGCTTGAGGGTACCGGGAGACTGGGAGGAGCAGCACAGTAAAGCAGCTGAAAGCAAGGGCGGCCAGGACACGGTGATTTGGATACTGTTGAGATTGTGAGCTGCTGAAAAAGGTCGTGGATACACGGTGTGAGCTATCTTCCCCCACCCCCGCTAGATAGGGTTTGAGATGCGTTCGTTTTCGTGAAATTCTGCTGGTCGGTTCAGAAACCCGTATGCACGTCCTGGAAGTCGGGCAGCATTTGTCCATTTAAATAGTTCCGGGGTTCGTCGTGCGAGGTGAAAGGGATTGGTCAGCGGCGCCGCTGCCGCGTGTTAGATGGCTGCTGCACGGCCTGAGCTGGTCCGCGGTGTTGCAGCTCAGTCCGTTTGCAGACGCGTCTGCCCGCCTGTGACCGCTCGCGACTCACACGCCGTTGCCCTGGTGTCGACAGCTCACGGAGCAGGATCAGGAGCTGTACAAGAATTTCCCGCTCGTGATATCGGAGCGCTGGCAAAACGAGGTAGCCGAGACCGTGTTCGACACGGTCAATGCCGAGGCCGACAAGCTGGAGCAGAAGAAGCGATCCAAGCACAAGCTGCGCTTCGACGCCGACGAAAAGGGTGAGTGGTGTGCCGCGTGGGGGCGGTCGTCAGGAGCGGCGGAGCGGAAGGGCCGGTGGCTCTGGTGTGCCGCGCGGGGGTGGTCGTCAGGAGCGGGGGAGGGGTGGGGGGGGGGGGGGGCGGAAGGGCCGGTCACTGTGATGTGCTGCGCAGGTGGTGGTTGTCAGGAGCGGAGGAGCGGAAGAGCTGGTGGCTCTGGTGTGCCGCCGGGGTGGTCGTCAGGAGCGGGGGAGGGGGGGGGGGGGGCGGAAGGGCCGGTCACTGTGATGTGCCGCGCAGGTGGTGGTTGTCAGGAGCGGAGGAGCGGAAGAGCCGGTGGCTCTGGTGTGCCGCGGTGGTGGTCATCGGGAGCGGCGGAGCGGAAGGGCCGTTGTCTCGCCCTGTGGGTGGCAGCAGTCTAGTGATGGTCCGAGCACAGGATGTCGTTAGACTGCCTTCTGGTGCCGAGCGGGGCAAGCGTCCTTTGTAACCCCGTCGCTAGATGCAAACATCTCAGCTCATGTGGATATGCGGAGAAATTGCCAGAGGGACACGCAGCTGTCTCGTGCTCTGTGCGTGCGTGCGGGCGGGCGTGCGGGCGTGTCAAATGGTTTGAGCGCGTTGTTACTAATATTTGAGCAACGAAACGCAATCTTAGGAATTAAAGCTTGTTCGAAGTGTCGTAAGAAAAACAAGCCTGAGCCATTTTGCTTTGGTCCGGTTTTCATTTCGACGGGCTGTACGCAAATCGTTGAGGATGCAGTTATGTCACTAACAAAATTGTTTGCATGTTTTGCAACATGCATCACACAGTCCCGTTTGCTTAGTCCCGTGCAGTCCAGGGGTATCTCCGCGTTTTATGTTGAAGGACACGAAGTTCATTGATGAAGTATTTTTTACCACTGGCGTCCTTAAGATTCACTTGAGTGCGTATTTATGTTACGTTTGGACGGATGTTTTCGCTTGGATCGTATTCAAGATAAGTTCCAAACGTAAACAGCAACAAGATTTTCGTATTTAAATTTCCACCGTCGAGTTTGAAGACAGCCAAACGTTTTCCACGGGATGGACCATTTCTGAGGGCCAGTTTCACATCACAAAACGTGGCCCTCGCGCTTTTAACTGGCGTTTTGCAGGCAACTGCATGAATATCCGTCAGTTACAACGCATTCACTGGATGCGTGACCATAGATTGATAGCCGATGTCGCGGAGGCGGGGAGAGGCAGGGCACGCGTTAAGGCGTACGTAGGCCGGAATGTTGTGACGGTTACAATATCCGCTTCCCCCTGACCGGGATGGCCAGTGGCAGCGGCCACTTTAAAGGTCAAGTGACGTCAGAGAGCAAGACGGATGGTGCCGGGCATTGCGCAAAACCTTCCCGTTGACCCGGAATTTCACGGCCGGGTCGTCAGGGGCGTGGCTTGACGCAACAAGCACTGCGTAGCGCTTGTGCTGATCACAGAAATGCACCCAACCAAAAGGTTCGAACTAAACATTAAACAAGAAGCGCGGCTTGGTTCGCAACCTCTTCCAGACCGGTTGTGTAGCGAGATACAATATTATATTTTTAGGCCTGGCGTTTTTCCCCTTGGATCGTGAGCGCCCTGCCTGGCAGTGTTTCATTACCATATGCCCACGTCCGAGGCGCTGACAGAGCCCTGGCCGCCTGGAGAATTTGGAGATCCGCGTCGCGCCGCAGCACGCCCTGCCCGGCGCTGTAGTGCCAGCGGAAAGGACAGAGGCTTGTCTTCGCCCTGGTGTCACTGGTTCCGGTTGCTACCAGCACAACAACTGGTTACAACACCGGTAGTTGTTGGTGAACCTCTGGTGAAAACTCCGGGTGCCTCCGCGCCGTCAGCTGTCAGTGGACCCCGGGCCTGTTGCAGATTCCGACTGTATCCTGCACGGCTACATCAAGAAGCTGGGCGGGCCGTTCGCCTCGGCCTGGCAGACGCGCTACGCCAAACTGTACCCGAACCGGCTGGAGCTGTACCCCGAGTCCGGCAGCAGCAAGCCCGAGCTCATCTTCATGGACCTGGTGGAGGACATCGGAGCCGACCTGCAGCAGGTCAAGGGCGAGCAGAGCATCGTCATCAAGACCAAGGAAGGCAAGGTGGTGCTCACCAACTCGGTGAGTTCGGCGTCCGGGGTGCCGCGACCGCAGCGCGCGCTGCCGCAGGTCTGCGGACGCCGATTCAGGGATGCCTGGTGGCCTGGGTGCCTGATTTGAGTGAGGTGAGGTATGGGTTCTCCGCAATGTCCCTGGTATGCGGCAGCTGTGCCGCCTGCTTTAGATGGTTCGATAAGAGGGACCACTTACCCACGTACTCCAGTGTGCTAGGCAATCACTGGATTGCGAAGTCCTGCGTGATTGAGTTTGATCGCCGGCCACTTCCGTCGTGGAGTCAGTCGTCGGAGATGACGTAGCGAGCGTGTCAGGGTGCAGGCGAGACGGCACAGCATGTTGCCGGCCGGGCAAGTGACCGATGACGCCTCCTCCACAGGACGAGATTGGCTTGAAGGAGTGGGTGCTGAGCCTGCGCTCCGCCCACAAGTCCCTCCGTGGAAATGCTCTGCAAGATGGCCAGGAAAGCCGGCCGAATTTACGGCACGGACTTGGAATCTACAAATTGTTCTAAAAGTGCCAATGGAAACTAGGACTGAAACTGCGGTGGCGCAGAGTCGCGGACGCCTGGTGCCCTCGTGTGTAACCTGTACCTCGGCGCCCGCCACCAGATGGCGGGTCGATCGCCACGGTACTCTATGGGTTGAAGGCTAGTCAGTGGAGACAGTAGCGATGGGCTGAAGTGCGTGAACATAGCAAGATGTTGTTCTTATGTGTATACTTTTCTACTAGTCTCCATGGTGCCATTGCGTTATCTTCACATTCGACAGCCTTTATCGGCGTCCGCATTTTAGCGCGTGACCTTGTCAACTTTTCTACTTTTGACTTGTGTTGAAACGCCTCTGCTGTACATTGGCCCCTTGCTCGGCCCCAACTCTCCGCGAGATTTATTGTTGGATGTGCTGTGCGAGATTTGTTGAAGCACATCGCAGCGCGATGAGTGTGTAGCCTGTTGTCAGTCAACATTGGGTGCCAGCGCTGTTAGGCGCGGCTCGCGTGTGTTGTATCTGTGTGCACGCGTGCGCCGGCGCGCTGGTTTGCGGCCCGCTCGCGGGGCAGGACGCTGGCCGCCCCTCCACAGCAATACGCGCGGCCGGGCGGGGCCGCCGGCGCGCGCCGCCGACCCTTTCACCGCCCTCCTCTCCAGCGTTGACCGCGGCCCGCTGTATCCCGCTCCGGCGACCACTGTACAACATAGGTGACCATCGGCTACTGCCGCGACCGACTGTTTGCCCGGTGCAATAGAGGCCCGGTCCTACTACTCACCGGCGGGACGGGAGCCGTGTATGCACTTACTGTGTCTTGTCATAAAACACTACTCGCCTCCGTTCTCGAATCGCCGTTGTTTTTTTAGTGAAGAGGTCGTGGAAGCGCTCCTCGTGTTGTCCACATCATGCGTGAGAATTTGCCGTCGGCGGTCATCCGCTGCCGGCCTGAGGTGCGGCGCTGCGGCAGTGCTTGCTTGCGTGGAGTCGCCCCCGCTGTCCGTTTCCCTGAGTGCGCGAGCGCGCACGCGCGGGTCGTCTGCGGCTGGCGTGGCACGGAGCCGGCGCCGCCGCCCGGACCGCGCGGCTGGTACAGCTGGCGATCGCGGCGCCGGGCGGCACCGGCGCGCCGCTGCCGCCTGTCCTCGTGAACCGTATATCCGATGTTTCATAATAAAAGGCTTACCATGAGCAATGGTTTCCCGTAAGGCGAGGCGACGGTGAAAGGCGGTCGAAGCAGTTGGCGATGTATTTCTGACATGAAGCCGGAGGGAGCGGCCGATGGGGCACGATGACAAGCGGGCGGTTCGTCACGCGCCGCTGGCCTCGGCTCGCGTGATTCTCACGTCGTCCACCGGCCGGTCGTCCGAGCCGGTCTCCACCATTCCCATCCGCTTGACTACGTCCATGCCCGTCCGGACACGACCTGCGGACGAGACAGCGAACTCACCGGCACGTCGTTCGTCATGACCACGCTCGGCGCTGAGCGGCTTGGCATTCACTTGACCAGGTAGACATGACAAAAGGACATCCGCTTCCTCTCGGCCATTTCCACTGGGGAGGGACCTCAGGCGCCGAGCCGCTCGTCGACACTCGTCGACGCGTGCGTGGACCCGAAATTAAGAACAACATAAAACATTCAGGAAGTAGCATGGCCACACCGAGCCTAGCCAGCTGGCGGCACCAGGCCAGGGGAGCCGCCCAGCGAGAGGGGGCGCACAGCCGGCCGGGTGGCCTACTACCAAAGATGCGTGTTTGCTGTCCAGCCACTGGGTGGGCGCCAGCGTGATGAAGAACTGACTGCCGTTGGTGTCGGCGCCGGAGTTGGCCATCGAGAGGATGCCGGCGCCGGTGTGCTTCAACTCAGGCGAGATCTCGTCGGCGAACGTCTGGCCATAGATGGAGGCGCCGCCGCGACCGGTGCCCGTCGGGTCACCACCTGCGCAAACCGCACGCCGACGGTCGGTGGAGAAACGTGAGCGACAGGGCAATGTCTGCTGCACCCCACTTCATTGCTCATATATATATATATATATATATATATATATATATATATATATATATATATATATATATATATACATATATATATATACATATATATATATATATATATATATATACATGTATGTGTATAAATACATACATGCCTCACCATTTTGATGTCTGCATTGTTAAAATATGACCCATACAAAATTGGACAAAAATGTACAAAACAAAACCATAGTTTAAAAATATGTAAGGTCTGCAACACATTTGTGGCTTACCCTGAATCATGAAATCTTTGATGATCCTGTGAAACTTGCAACCATTATAGTATCCCCTCCTCGAGAGTTCTGCAAAGTTCCTGCAGGTGTTTGGAGCATGCTTCCAGTACAGCTCGACCACAATCTCACCCATCCTGGAAGGCAATACCACCACAATTTTGTAACACTTAATGTGAGAAATGTCAACAAACAAACAAATCATTTTACACAGAAAACATGAGACACTGATGAAGCAGCAGATAAATTTTGAATAAAGCACATCCTGCAGACATTCTTCTATAGAAAGTAACACATTGCAGCACCCCACCAACATCTGTCCTCGACCATTACATTTTTCAAGCTTTGCTGTTGAAGGGTCTACTTTGACCGATCTTTGGGTACACTCCCAACATGTGGATTTGTGCAGGTACATCACGGTGTGCCCACAGGATTTCACCATTTAATCAAAAGATCATTTGTAAAAGCATCCCAAAGGCCTAATTGTCTGCCCAATAACTTATCAGTCCATAGAGATTTGTGCAAGGCAAAGGGTGGCACTAGTGAAGAAGAAATGAGTATAAAATTATCATAGACACATAACTGCACTGATTGATACAACTCTCAACTTCCTATTGCAAGCAATTGGAAAATGCCTGCTTCACTCCTACACATTGCTAATAGAATACATTAACAGTTCAGTGAAGTTCATGTATCGGGGAAACTTGCGAATGCAATACCTGGGCACCACCTCTGGGAAGTTATATCTTTTATCATTAACACGGCCAGTTCACAAAAATACATCTCATGGGCATCATCCTCCAAACCACTCTTGCCATGTCACTGACAACAGTGGTCCTAAGCATTTGTAGGGCACACATAGTAGAATTGTCAGAACCATGTTTCTACACTGTGTCTCTAAGGCTTAAGAACTACATCAAATCAAAAACAAAGGAAGACCCCTTCACATCTCTCACAGGAAAATGGATTGGACACATGTTTGCATGCAAAGCCAAGCAAGTGGTGAACAACTCAGCACCACTTACGTGGTCTGCATGCTGACAGTGGGTGGCTGCCATGACCTGTCCGGAATCCCACTCATCTTTGTAGGTCAGTTTGCATCTCTCTGAAAGATAGCTGTTTGATAGTTAGCATGTTTAAATCTGAATACATTTTTCAGTAGTATCAATCATGAATAATCCATGTCCGGTGCTCGCCTGAGAAGGCTGCTGAGCAGCAAGGTTATACAGTAGGGTGTGCATGTAAATTTTGTTTAAAGGGATTGGGAATGACAAGCATTCAAGAATCATAATAATTTTTTAGCATACAAATCATGGGATTTTCTAGGCATGATTCTTAACAGTGAAATGTAGAAAGCCTCCATCTGACACCAAAAACACACAGGATAAATTTTTCAGGACCGAAGGAAGCTTGATTCTCACAGCTACACCCATTTGCCAATGATTACAAGAAAACTTTCACACCTTTTGCCTCAGATTGCAAGAACAAAAAAATCAACCGTGCTGGACAATTGTAACATATCAGTGTACTGCATCTCATGGCCATTAAACTCAGACCAAGCTCAACACCCTAAATTCCAAATAATTTTGCAGTAAAAATTGAATGCAGTGTTTTTCCCAAATTATATTTGCAACAGCACGATTCCTTGAACCATTGAGTCCCTATGTGCAGCTATTCGCGACACTAGTGGCAATTTGAGCGCCGAGCACTCGACGCTCGCATTCCCCATGTAGGTGCGCTAAAATTATTGCCGCAATTTAGCAGCTTCTTCGGACATGTTCGGCATGAAATGTCTGTTTTGCACCCTGGCACCTTCCCCAACCCTCGTCGTCAACCAACCTACCAACCAGGCCCATCAACGGCTCCCTGCACGACTATGCCTCACGGCGTCCCAACTTCGGTCGCCGCTCGCCGCTCTAAATGCCTTTGTCGCGCCGAAAATGTAGGTGGGGGATGTTGGAACTTTGCTGCCGTTTCTGCACTAACTCTTAACCTCGGAAATGAGTGGAACGTGTCTGGTCAAATTAGGATTTTGGTGCGCATGTACTTGTACGCTTGCACGCTTGCCTTCCGGTGAACAGAACACCGACGCTCGGCGTTGCAGTCTCCATGGGCCGCGCGGCATTGGTACTACGTCCGTTTACGCCCGGCGGCGGCGTTGTCAACCGGCAGGCGAAGACGGCCACATCTTGGAAAGTGCAAGAAGTGGTTCTGTTGAAAGCGTTATGAAATCAATGGGCATACGTCTAGAAGGCATCCCAGATTGTACGATTCAACTGTGTGATATTTATATTAACACTCGGGACGGATTGATTCGTAAAGCACCATGCACTCATCATGGAAATGCCCGTGGAAATCATGGAAAGTGCAAGAAGTGGTTCTGTTGAAAGCGTTATGAAATCAATGGGCATACGTCTAGAAGGCATCCGAGATTGTACGATTCACCTGTGTGATATTTATATTAACACTCGGGACGGATTGATTCGTAAAGCACCATGCACTCATCATGGAAATGCCCGTGAAGTTTGCGATTTAACTAGCAATTTATTAAGCAGTGCGGCAGATGACACTGGAAAAACGAATGTGATGTCCATTTTACAAGATCACGTGACCTTCCAGGTCGAAATGAGGTTAAAGTATGGAAAATTCCGTATCACAGAAAATTACTGGCCAATTTCGAATTAGTGAGCATCAGAACAAACACCAATGCATGAACCAGGGCTGGGTCGGGCAGGGCCGAGCCGAGCCGAGCCGAGCCGAGCCGGGCCAGCTCGGTCTGGCCTGCATAGTGTCTTCCAAAAAGCACAGCAAAATTAACGGCCGATTTCGGATTTGTGAGCAAAAGGACAATCACTAGTGCGTGAAGTAGCGTATTTTAAGGTGCTGAAGTCATCATGTCACATCTCAAAGTCATCATCATTCAATGTCAGATCAGGCTCAAAGGGCGGGGAACTTCATATTGTCCTAGTTATACCGGCCGACTTAAAATTTTCGAGCATCAGAATATTCACTAGTAAAGGAACTGGTGAATTGCGAACAAATGAAATTGGTGAGCTGAAGGAGAGGAAAGGGAAATCCGAAGTTGGCCCGGGACTTTGGGGCAATATGGTGTCCCCCAGCCAGCACACTCAAAGGGGCACCATGTGGGTTTCAAATGGTTCACGTGTTCTCACATGGGCAATGTATTTAGCATGGACAAAAAAGTGGGTTTCGATGGTGCCCATATGGGCCGTCCACCGTAATCAAAATGTTCATAAAACATGCTACGAAGCAAAGCAAGTGAGGCAGCATCTTACAGCCAGGCGACAGCCAGGCACGGTTAATTCAATTCAAACAACAATATTGCATTGTCATGTAGGTGGGCACGATGTGAGATCTACGTGGGCTAGTGCATTTCGAAACCACGTGGTGGACTGGTAGCCCATGTGGTGACCACCTCGGGCCCATGTGTAAGGTGTCAGGGAACACCTATGTGCCAGTCGGTGAATGTTTGCGTAGTTTGCCGAGCGCCGCTTGGAGGCGCTCTCGTTCCGCTCCTGCTCTAGGCTCCTGCTCCTGTGCGAGGGACGCGGCTGCGGGGTCAGGAGAGGACGGAGTAACAGAGAAGAGTCAAAGAGCAGCCGGCGCGAGGGCGGACGCGCCGGCGGGACGGACTGTGGTGAGCGCCTGTGACGAATGCAAATACAGAAATGACTGCGCGTAGCGTGTGTACCAGTGAGCTGGAGGCGAGATACCGGGACAGCAGAACATGTTTCCCAGCGGGTGTTCTGTGGTATTCTGACGCTACGACGGGAAATGGGGTACAGGGGACTTGACGGAGACCCTGATGGGACTCAGTCCTGGACATGCAGCCTACACCCCGCCTCTCCTCAAACGGCTTCCGATCTACAAAGGCGAGCCTACAATGCGGCTGTGCCTCTGCTATCCTGCACATAACCATTCGTGTTGACAACACGATACCATGATGAGAAATGTCCACAGACGTGGCTATCTCGTATCACGTCTTTCTTTGTTCAGCGCAGCTGGGAACGTTTCATCTAATCGGGTAAAAAGTCGCTGGAGGCCCGATCGTACAGTTTCACCATGGAGCGTTTATGTATTCAGGAGCCTGCCCACCGCCTGCCTGCGAGCGGCTTACTGTTTCGGAGACCCCACTCCAGTCCAGAGCAAGGCCCTTTAACAACCAGGGCAATGGAACATGGGGTACTCCAAAGGTTTTGACTAGTACGCATCAAAGCATATCATAAGTATATCTGAGTCCGGATTAAGACCAGATTTGGGATGTTGTACCAAAAATTGGCAGTGCTGGGTCAGCGACATCTTTGGTATGGTTGTGGCGATCAGGTGTAACCACATTTATCAGCCGTAAGACCTTTGAAGTTAGTTCTAGGGCCTGGGCTTGATGTTGGGTGTAGAAGCAGGACGGCCTGTTGGGTCGGATTGTGTCGAAGTGATTTCACATGCATCTAGGTTAAACTGATGCATCTTGTTCTGTGCCAACTTACATTATGTCGCAGTCGCACAGTATGACTTATTGTCAGCATTCTGCATCATGACTGATCACATAATTACTCAGTTATTGCCCAGTGAGCCAGTTATGAACAGCGTGGTAGAGGCTACCAGCTTTAGAATGTTGCATGGTATGTGACTGGTCAAGGTGCTCTCAGCTATAATAATGTTGGAGCTGACAACCGGTTCGCTTTTCAATACAGGAGATGCAAGTGTGGAAATGGTTGCACAACGCGGCGGACCGCACTCCGGTGACAGAAAGAAGCCACAGGAACAAGGAGAGCGCTGATGCGGCGCCACCCCACTTTGCTCTCGGTGTTATGTAATATTAAGTTATCTACATGACAGAGGCATGCGATGTGTGCGGCTTAGGTGTTGGAATACGGGTCGATGCTGCATGAATATGTTTAAGGTAATGTAAAGGTGTTATTTCGCCAGGCTTGACAACGACATCATGGCCAAGACCGCGTGAAACAACGTTGTGGTCTTAGGGAGGTCGAACTCATCTGCAGCGTAGAAGCAGGCTGGCTTGTTGGATTGGAGAACAAAGAACGTCGACTGGAGAGCGGGGCAAGTCGACTGGAGAGCGAGCGAACGTCGAGTAGACAACGGGAAGACGGCCCGACGTGCATATCGGTTGGACGTCGGCGAATATCTCGGCTGGACGTCGGCTGGACGCCAGCTGGACGTCGGCTGGACGTCGGCATGTGCGGACATGTACGATGCTGGCGCGACGCAGGCGTGTTTATTAGGTGTCAAGCGATGACCCTGCGTAGAGGCATTGGTTAGGACAAGCTGTCGTGATTTTGAGAAGTAAGTGGGCCAAATCTGGAGAGAAACCCGTTTGTTAGCGTATTTTTGAAGGATGTTTCGTCATTTTCCAGTGCTCAGAACCGCTTTCATGCGCTTATTTTACCAAACTATCCCGCTAATTTCAGGACTTCAGCAATATGAGGAATATCTGTGGGAGGACCATTAGCGACATTCATAAAACTTTCGTGGGTTTTTATCCGGCTTTCCTGCTCTCAGCACTATTACCGCCTGTCGGCAGCCCGACGCCCTGCGAAACTCGTTTATCCGTTCGGGCACTGAAATCTGAATCTGAAAAGCATTAAATTGTCTCACCAGCGGAACTAAAAAGGCCCTGTACAGAACACGAATTATTGAACGCACAGTGATAAACATCAGTCTTCACTGATGAGCCAGGGGCCTCGCGGGGTCGCAGGCAGACACAGATCGTTCGTGCTATGTGTTAGAGGCCAATAACAGGCGTCAGAGGTCACTGACAGGTATCAGAGATCACTGATAGGCATTAGAGGTCACCGACAGGTGTCAGAGGTCACCGGCAGACCTTAGCTGGGCAATGACAGGCGTCAAAGACCATTGACAGGCGTTAGTAGCCACTGGCAGGCGTCAGAAACCCCTGACAGGTGTCAGTGATCGCTGGCAGGTGTCAGTGGTTGCTGGCAGTCGTCAGTGGCTGCTAGCAGGCGTCACTGATCGCTGGCAGGAATCAGTGGATGCTGGCAGGCATCAGCGATCGCTGGCAGGCGTCTGGGGCCGCTGGCAGGCGCCGAGGCTGACGCCAGGTCAGGGCAGGGATGAGCGGCCGAGCGGGAGCCTGTTTACCGCCGATCGGCAGAAATAGAGCGGCCGGGCCGAGACGACCCGGGAAGAGCGGACGTCGGGTGGGGCCGTCGTGAAGGTCGGGTGTCCCGGGCAAGGCCGGCGTGGGATGCAGCTGCACCCCAGGTGGTGGGGTGCTCCTCGTTGAGGTGCAGTCATCAGCCTGGGTGGCGGTGCGGTGCAAACGAGTCCGAAATGGGGCGCTACCTTCTGCGCGGATGAAGGGATGCTGCGGGGTCAGGGTGTAGCCGCCAGTGTGGGCTGAAGAGTGATTCGGTGTTTTGTGGAGCCGCCAGTGTGGGCTGCATGGTGCTACCCATCGCGCGGGTGGAGGGGTGCTACGAGGTTGGAGCAGCCCCCAGTGTGTACTGCCTAGTGCTGCCACCTGCGCGGGTACGGGGGTACTACCTGACGGGAGCAGCCACCAGCGTGGGTGGTGGTACGCTGCGGTGGCCATCCGCCAGCCGCGACTGGACCGTCCGGTCCGCACGCTCGTGGTCAGTCCGGCCCGGAGTGCCCTGGCGGCCAGTGCAGTCTGTGCGGCCGGGGGGCCGGCAGCTGCCGAGGCCGGCCCGCGACGCCGGCTTCCGGTGCGGACGTCATCACCAGGTCACGGTCCGGTGGCCTGGCGCCAGAATCGGGGTCGGCGCGTGACGCCTCATTCTGTCTGGACACGGTGACGGTGGCGGCCGCTTCACCCATCCTCCCCGCATTCGCCATCAATTCATGGAACACCTCGCCTAAACAGCTGCGCTAACGTCATTCGTCAG